TCTGAAATGGGGAATGATGAAATGTCCAATTTAGTTCTTACTCTTTCGCCTTCTTAAACAAGAACTAAACAGTCTTAATTTCTAAGTGTCTTAGCTTCTCTGTCTTTATCTCATCAACACTGTGAGCATAAATTCTTGAAGCTTTGATCTTTATGGGAAATATATGAAGTTGAAAAGCTCATTAATTTGATTAAATGGATTGTTCAGTTTTAAAGACAGGTAAGAGTGAGATGGTAATATCAAATACCCTTTCAATCGAAAATCATCACATACCAAATATTAGACTCATGATCTTTCAAACTCTTCAAATCACTCCAATCAACTATGTAAAACTGAAACAGTGGCAAAAGCATTCTCCCCACTTGACCTCTGAACTATTTTAATAACAATAATAATCAGGCCTTTTCTACTTATATACCTCTTTCCTATAACTTGCAAAAAAGTAAATTTACTTTGAAAAACACTACCAGATGCAAACACACTTAAGTGATTGGGGAGGAAACATCCTTGTCCTCCACTCATTTTTACAGTATTTTAAGGCATCTTGCTTTTCACAGTAACGGCTGTGCCTGTGAAAAACATTTGTTGACACATTCTTCATGTGCGCGCATACACCCACACCCACACACACACATTTGCTTTTAATGAAAATTTCCTCATCCAGGCTTATGATTATGTTGTTGCTGGTTGCTGTAGAGTTACTGTGGTGATCCATAGGGTTTTCATTGGCTAATTTTCAGAAGTAGATCACCAAGCCTTTCTTACTAGCCCATCTTATCTGGGAGCTCCTCTGAAAACTGTACAGCAACATAGCAACACACAAACCTACCAATGACCCACCAGTATAGACAGACAGATTAGATAGATTAGATAGATAGGTAGATAGATATGATTACAGTTGACATTTATTCAACAATTACTGTGTCAGGCACTATTCTAAACGATTTCCATAATCCTCCTAATTCTAGGCAGTAGGTACCATTACTTCTCCCATTTTACAGAGAAGGAGTCTGAGTGCTTAGGTAACCTGCCCAAGGTCACTAAGCAATAAGCAGCAGAGCCAGACTTGATCCAGAGTTTGACTCCAAAGCTCATACTCTTAGCCACTTGTTGAAACCATTTAATTTCATACCAGAACCAGGTATACTTTAGAAAGGTCACCATTTCTCCTTTGCTTTTCTGCCTCTTTCTTCCTTGTCTCTTCTTCCACTTTTTTGCCTGCTTCCTCTCAGGCTATCTAAGTCACGTCTTTGGATTTCCTCACTTTTCATTTCCAGCCACAGCCCAAAACCTGGCCTCACTCCAGCATCCAGTAGGACAACAGTGCAAGCTTAGGAGAGAAGCTCAGCCTCTTTGGAAAACCAAGCAGAAGGTCGCTGGCAGCAGACAACAGCAGAACTGTCTGGGAACTGTGAGGTTATCCACATGTCCACGATGAGCTCTCAGACTCAAGTAAGACACCATTGATTCCCTGATCCTTCCCAAGGACATAATTATTTTCATAATTACATGGAAATACACGAGGAGCTCACAGACAGTCTGAAGAAAAACTGCTGAACTTAGCAATGGAAACTCGGGGTAAGGTAAGTAAACCAGTGCCCAGTTGTGGCCGAGTTGATTCTAACTCATGGTGCCCCCATGTGTGTTACAGTAGAACTGTGCTCCATAGGGTTTCCAATGGCTGATTTTTCAGAAATAGGCCTTTCTTCCAAGATATGTCTGGATGGACTTGAACTTCCAACCTTTTGGTTAGCAGCTGAGCGTATTCACCATCTGCACCACCCAGGGGCTCCCAGGGTAAGGTAAACAGCTGCTAATTCATATTTTCCTTCTTAAATACTTACTCATGATCTAATTGCATAGAGCAGGAAATTTTGGCAACTTGGGGGTAAAACTTGCTTCATTAAATCACATATTGTTAGGGTTATTGGGAACCAAAAAGTTTTGCTAAAAGTTTTTAGGGGGAGAAATTTAAAAAGATCCTTTGTTAAAAGAGCTCTTAAGGGTTGTTTTAACTAATGTGTTTAATTGATTAGCAAATATGCTGAACTTATTAGATGCCTACACCCAGAGCTTTGGAAAAGAAGCTGGCCTGTCTGCACACTTTTCTGATAGAAAGTGGAGGTGTCATCTGACAGGTGTATCAGCGGGCAGTAGGTACATGGGCCTGGGAGCCAGACCTGCACTTCCTCTTCAAGCTGTGTGACCTTGAGCTAGGTACTTAACTTTTTCAAACCTCAGCTTCTCTGTTAAAAGACAGGAGCATTAATGTTCGCCACTCAGGGTTATTGTAAACAGCAAATGACATCATGTCTATGAAAGTGACTAGCCTAGGAACGGGCAGGGTAGGCATGTAATAAATGGTAGTTTTATTTAATTTTATGTCATTTCAAAGGAGGGGCAGATGGAAAGCCTTGTTATTAAGAAATAAGAGGATAGAAACCATAAATCTGTGGCCTGCAATTTTTCCTTCACTTTAAGAAAACTTTACCAGACCTGTATTTTTGGTTAAAATAGGGATAGCCGAATCTTTTACAATACTTCTTCTACCAAAACCTCAGCTTTTAGTAATCAAGCAATTATTCATGCATAATGCATTGCTGCTCTGTGGATTACTGCTAGGTACATATTGCGATATAAAAATCAAGGGAACAGACCCAAAATCAAAGTTAATAGGGAAACGCTGATGATCAAGTTAGGCTCCACAGCCTGTCAGAAAAAAAATCATCATTTATTAAGATGAGAGACAGTGCTCAGAATAAACCAAATCAAGTAAGTCAGAAATTCTACACACTAAATAAAATTTATGAAGAAAGCTTATATGAAGAAATTACATTTTCCTCTATCTAAAATTACCTGCGGTTGCATTTCCAGCATTATATCCAATTTGTTTTTTAATATTAAAAAAAAAAAAACAGGATTGCCACTGCTTTGCTCATCATTTCCTTTTGGGTAATAACACAGCTAATCTAGTGAAACAAGGAGCCCGTGAGGATTCACCAAAATACAGAAGCTGACAGCTATAATGCATGACAATCCAACAACAAAAATTTGCAACAGCTCAGTCCCAGAAAAGAAACAAAAATGGGGAACCATGATAGAAACGTCTTTGTACGAGGCTATCAGGCAAGTATCTCACTGCCCAAGTAGCTGGGATGCATCTTCTATCCGGAAGATGAGAAGGCTGGAGAGGAGTTCAGGCCACACTGTCAGAAAGCTCAGGTTACAGCAAAACCTCCAAAGTCATTTCCAGAATATATTCAAAGCTCTCCCCTGCCCTTTGTAAAGTTGCTGCTACAGCAGAATCACAACAGTGGTGAGTTCCTAGAAATGATTTTTTTGCTGAGTTCAGCATTAAACTCTGAGAAAGCTCAGCTCATTTGGCACCCTGAAAAGCTGAATAAACAAGAAGCAAACATAAAATTTCCCATGGAGTTTCAACCACAACCAAACGAGTTGTCCTGTTCCACCCAAAACTCAGGCATATCCTTACATCTTTACCCTAACCCAAAAAAACTACAGTCAGCCAGCTTTCTAGAATCCAAACAAGTCTGATAATGTTTAATGCAATGACAATGAGGCCTCCATTATTATTCCTCAAATACTTAATCTATCTATATCAGGTACATATTTTCATTAAAATTATCTATATTCACATAAACTGTACTATCTCTGTTCATGTTAAAAAATTAAGGTTTAGTTGCCCTCTACCCTAATTACCCCAGGCCCAAAGTTTATAAGAACAAAAAGTCACAGGGGTCTCCAGAAGCTTTCTGTTAAGGCACAAGCCCATTTTAAAGAAACGAATCCATAAATTCTACAGATAGAGTTAATTCTTCAATAAGGATTTCATATTTTCCATTTTATGTTTAATAAGCCATATAAACATTTAATTCAGATTTAATATTTGTTTTGAAAATAAAATACCCCCTTTTATTAGTTCCAGAATTTGTACTTGTCTTTTGTTGTGTCACTACTTGTACGGATTCCTTTTCTACTGAAATGTAGCTGGAGCATTAGAAAGACCTAGAACAGGGCTCTAGGGGTATCCTTCCTCAAGGCACCCCCAGAGGAAAAAACCAGTCACAGACAGCAAACCCTCAGAGGGGCAGTGATTCATTTCCTGAGCTAACCCACTTTCTTCTTCAAACATTTCCTTCTCTTCACCAATGTGTTTTTTTTGAAATTAGCACTGAAGTCTTCTTGCAAAATATACTTCCAGGCCTAGGACCTAGAATCTAGACAAATTCCAATGGTCATGCTATTTTTAACATCACTACTGAAGAGATACAAAATTAAAACCTCAAATTAAGTGTGACTTTGGTACTCAAGAAGGCTCCCTGCAATGCTAGTTGATGTTTCGGCAAAAGAATCCTAACCAGGATGAGCTAGATCCATGCTTTGAGAATGCAAATGTTATCAGAGTGAAAACCTGAACACAAAAAATGTTCATGGCTCCTGGCTACTCCATAAGGAAAACTCTGGCATCTTCTATGATAAGGAAATCAATCTTTTTAACCTTGCAACCTTAAAGGGTTAGAAGTTTCTTCACACTGAGTATAACCTTGGAGATAAAACTGATAGTATATATTAAATAATATTAAAGTAATATATTTCATCAGAAATGTATCTCTCCAATGACTATATCTTGACTGTAATCAAAGTAGAGCCCTGGCGGGGCAGTGGTTAAAGAGCTCAGATGCTAACCACAAGGCTGGCAGTTCAAAATCACCAGCCACTCCTTGCAAACTCTATGGGGCAGTTCTACTCTGTCCTATAGGGTTGCAATGATTCAGGATCAACTAGATGGCAACAGGTTTTAGATTTTGGTAATCAACGTAGATGTAGGAAGCTGAACAAAATTTGGATACTATGATTCTTCTGTGCTAATAAATTTAAGTATAATTTAAATAATAAAATCAGTCCTTACCAAACTATAAACATATAAGCTTTATTTATTTACCAGCAATGACTGCCAACACAAAAACAGACAAAGAGAATAAAGTCTCTTAAAATGTTTATTTTTGTCAGAATAGCTGACAATTTCTTGTATTTTTGTTTATTATCATAATAAGCATTTCTCCCCCTTGAAAAATCCATTAATATATCTCAATCCTTGAAGTAAAGAACTTCAAACTAAAAAAAACAAAAATCCTGATTTTTTTTAAAAGAAAAAAATTCTTAGAATTCCTTTAATGTGATAAATAGAAATAATCTCTTCTTGTCTACTCTGGTGAACATAAATGTGCTTTATACAGCAAAGTATCCAGTCACTTATTGGCAAACCGAAGGTGAGAACTACTCATTTACATGTTCTACTCAAACAGTGAGATACTGCCACGTTCATATATACTTTTTTTCTTTTTTTTAACAGTTACCAACACTCTTCTGGCAAAGAAAAGATTTTGGAAAGGCAAAAGCAACAGAAGTTGTAGGTCTCAAAGCTCTGGAAGGGAATTAATCTGAGTCTTCATCATCAAGATAGTCCTCGGCATTGCTTAATGTCCGAACCGCATCTAAAAGAAATAGGGTTAAAAAACAAAAGAGAAAAATTACAAAAATTGCTTGAATTTCTTTCCCCACTTTTTTTTCCCCAAAGGCTCTTGACAATTCAACAAATTAAATCTTCCTTATGACCCAGGGATTGTACTTTCCCTGAGATATTTTTCTACTTTTGCTTTTCAGCGTGTTCAGTTTCTGCTGTCATGCAGTTGACAAATGCATTCGTCTGCATATTGGTTAGATGTGCAGAAAAGCAAAGAACGTGGTGCTAGGGTACCATGACTCTACTTCCAACAGAATGCAACCACATGCACCATGACCAACGTGTAACACACCAGAAGCCACTCCACTATGACCACTGTGCTTGCAACCGCCTCTCCACCAGTGACAAATGCACCCGTGGCTTCTACTGGTCCACAGCCTGCCTGCTGCCTTATCTGAAGGTAACGTCACTGGGGAGAAAGATAACTAACGAAGAGAAAAGGAAAAGAAAGAGAATGAAAACAAACAAGCTTCAGTTTCATCTTAGAAAACACTGTAAATAAAGTATATTCAGAAAGAAAAGACTGAAATGAAAAGAAAAAAATGTACGTGGAAATAACTGAACTCCACCAAATGTTAAAATCAGCTTTGAACAGGACTCAAAAGGAAGACAACTTCTCTTTAACTGTTTATTTATTCAACTGTCTAGTCAAATTCCCCTAGCAACAAGTTACCCTAGGTATAATTTTAGGGGGGAAAAGTGGAATGCAAATACAGGCATGTATTTAGAGCTCAACAAATGTATGTTATAGCACCCAAATCATGGTCTCTAAATGCTATATCCTCATGGCTCATTGGAGATCTGATTCCAGGTCTGGGGTGGGAAATGTAAACTATGGGTGTAGATCCTCTTGCCATGCCATAAAGCAAGAATCCCACCAAAGATTACTAGGATCTTGTTGAAAGTATTCAGGATCCAACCTCAAGAGGTCCCCACTAGCCAAAGACGGGCCATCAACAAGGATACTAACCACAATGGATTAAAACACATCAAATGTTTCAGTGTACACAAAAAAGAACTTATTGGTTCCATTTGGAGAGTGATAGGGAACCAGCTCATTATTTTGAAAACTTTTAAATAAAGGGAGAAAAATTATTCTACTCCTGCTACATAAACTATTCCTCTGAGTAACCAAACAACTGCTGGAGGGAATTTTTTCTTTATACAATGTTCCAGCTAATAACCCAGAAAGGAGGGACAGAATTAGAGTATCATCATTTTGCAACAGTTCATGAAAGAATGGATCTAGACAATGGTTAGGGATGGATTCTAACATCATAAGAAGATATTAAGTGCCTCTGATGGAAGAACACAATATTCTATATGATGCATTCTTCCATCCACTCCTAAGATAAATAATAGACAGACAGATAAAACCTGAATCTGATCAAGCCTCCACATCTAACACAACTGACAGAAAATACAGAAGACAGAGGAACACGATAGCAACATCGTGGAAAGGCAGTCAGCAAACTGTGGGACATTACAGCTCGACTGACCCAGTTTCTTTAACAAATAAATTACATGGTTGCAAAAGGTAGGAGCAGAGGGAGAAAAAACAGGGAGTTACAAAAAAAACCCAAAAACTTAACAGACATTATCAACCAGTTACAAATTAACCTTATTTGGATTTTGATTTAAACAAACTATAGATAAGTAAAGGAGCCCTGGTGGTGCAATGGTTGAGCACTCGGCTGCTAAATGAAAGGTCAGCGGTTTGAAACCACCAGTGGTTCCACGGGAGAAAAGACCTGGTGGCGATCTGCTCCTGTAAAGATTACAGCCTAGGAAACCCTATGGGGCAGTTCTACTCTGTCATATAGGGTCACTACGAGTCAGAATCGACTCGATGGCACACAACAACAACAAGAGATAAGTAAAGAACAAACACATATGAGAAAATTGGGAAATGTGGACCATGGCAAGATATTATGGTGCTATTAAGGAAGTAATGTTAATTTTTAGGTGTGTTAATCACATTGCAGTTGTTTTTTCCTGAGAGTTATCGCTACACGTTTAAAATAATGATTATTAAAAAAAGGAAAGAAGAAAGGAGGGCCAATACAAGTGAGGCACGAGAGAGAGAAAATAAAGTAAGAAAAACTGAATGGGAAGCAAAACAGAGGCAAGCTTCAGCAATTCACACCAGTTTCCAAGCTATTAGAAGTCTCCAGGATGACTCCATTCTCCCCAAGAAAAGCCCTGGAGAACTGGGGGGAATATGTTTTGCTCTCCCCAGTACACACCCAAGAACTTCAGGACTGGCTGTGACTCAGTGAAAAGATGGTTTTTCAAGCTAAAACCAAAAATACAAACAGCAAAGCCTTTTGTCCTTCTACTCTCCTATCACAATCCTGTGGTTTGCCCATCTGAAATATCACTTCCCCTTCACTGGTTACCTCTGCTATTTAGTTTAATCTTGTTGCTCTTGTTAGAAGAGAAATATGACTTGCTACAGTGCAAACTCTGAGTGAAAATCAAGAGACAGGAATGAGCTGGGCAGATAAATTCCTCCTCCCTCCTTCTTCCCCTGGACTGCTCTGAGGCACAGTTTCTCAGGAAACTTCCCATATGGCCAGGTGCTGAGTGACTAGCTGTATCTTCACAGCTCATCTTGGGGCAGTGGCCAGGAGGGTAACTCATCCCCTCGCAACACTTCCCATCCTCCCATACCTCACTTCCACGCTGCCTCAATCCTATTGCCCTGGGTGTACCCCTTCCAAATAAAGCATCTGCACTTAAGCAAACAACAAACAAACCATATTTAAAGAAATGGTGGAGGGATAAATGCAGTAACATGGATGAATCTCACAGACATTATGTTAAGTGAACGAAGTTAAAGGCAAAAAAAAGTATATACTGTGTGATCCCATGTATATGAGGTTCAAGAACAGGCAAAACTAAACAATGGAAATGAAAGTCGGAATAACGGCCATCCTTGTAGAGGATACCGAGGGAGGCTTGGGGGTGCGGAAAACGTTCTATTATCTTGATCTGGGTTGTAATGTGTAGGTGTAAGCACAGTACAAAATTCACTAAGCTAAAAACTTAAGATTTGTGCACTTTACTTAATGTAAATTATACCCTAATTTTAAAAAAATTGGACAAAAAATTTAAAGGCTCACCTCTCAAATATAGCCCTGCCTCCTCCCTCCCAATATCCCAAAGTTATCCTTCTTAGTAACTGCAACATGTGAATTATTTTTTCCCTAGAAATCCGAGACATTGTTTTTTAAGGTAGACAGCAATATCAGAATATCTCTCTTCCAACTTAGAGTTCATGCTGACAATTATCGAAATGGCCAAAGGTACCAACCCTTAGTCAAACTATGATCAAATTATTGATTTAAAACTTTATTAACTGGGTGACTGGGTTAATGAAGCAAGAAAAAACATAGAAAAAGGTAACAAAGCACCTATGAAAACGTATTTCTTGGCTTTGCTGGGCCCAATGATTATTTAATGAATCAGTTTTCTAATCACTACAAGTTTACACGGGTGGACTAAAGACACTTGGAGTGAACACAGGAAAGAGTACCCACCTCCCAGCCTTATTTCACAAAAGCTGCAGAAAGGTGAGGGGAAAGCGAGAAAGATTTACCGCCTGCCTCATCCAGCTCCAACTGCTCATGTGTAAGCTTCTGGGAGAAAGTGTAGCTCTCTGGGGTCTGAGAGGTTTGCTATTTTCCTTGGCTATCATGACCAAGCTCACAGTTCATATGAGACACTGACAACCTTTAGCTCATACAAAAGCGTACTTTTCGGCCAGGGCATGCTAAAGGTAGCCATACAGCTACAGGAAATCAGTGGCAGAGAGAGGAAGTTAAGCCACACTCCTACTTCCTGACCTAACGAAAGCAGCAAAGAGCAGAAGGCAGACCTCAAGCAAAAGTGTCTCTCCCACATGGTTACTAATATGGCTTCTCAGTCAAAATGTAGCTGGGGAGCAACAGCTTAGCTGATAAAATACTTTCTCAGTAGAACCTATATGAGTAATTACTTTTAGGAAAGATTTCTTCTGCCTTTCAACATTCATGGCTTAAATAATTAAGGAATCCCAAACTGATTACTGGTTTATACTATGTCTGAACTTAAGTTGAAAAATAAAATAAAATCTGGAAAAAAAGACACATTTGGAATAAAGGATAAAAGGGACGACAGAGTTCTGAGAAGAGCTGTGATGGGGATCTGATGACAGGTTGGGGGATGATTCTGGGAAGCTCCATCAGAGAGGAAGATTGTTTACTATTTTTGAATGCCCACAGTAGGCAACCAGTACACTGATTTTACTTTGTTGCTTCTGTGAGGAATGGAATATGGACAGCATAACATTACTTATTCTGATAAAACAACGAGACATACTTGAGGGACAAATCAGTTTTCTAAGGGTTCAAAAATTAATGAGAATTCAATTAAAATGATAAAAACAGAAAAGTAATCAGGATCCCGTTACACAATTTCGAGAACTCTGAAAGTGATAATACCCTCAAGTTAAAATGGAAATAAATACACTTAGTCTCTATAATGGAAATTTGCTTTATGAAAAGTTGTTTTGGTGATTCTCCACCAACATGGGCCCGTCTAAACTTCTGACTCTAAAGAAATTCTATAAAGCTTTAGAATGATGGGTAGTAACACAAAAGACCTGCAAAAAGTGAGTCCTTCATTATACATATTTCTTTCTAGAAAATGTTTTTTTAAAATGTATCAATTGTGAACATTGACACAAAACTCCTCAATAAAATTCTAGCCAACAGAATTCAGCAACATATCAAAAAAATAATTCACCATGATCAAGTGGGATTTATAGCAGGTACGCAGGGATGGTTCAACATTAGAAAAACAATCAATGGATTACATCACATAAATAAAACAAAAGACAAGAACCACATGATCTTATCTATCGATGCAGAAAAGGCATTTGACAAAGTCCAACACCCATTCATGATAAAAACTCTCAACAAAATAGGAATAGAAGGGAAATTCCTCAATATAATTAAGGGCA